CTGCTGCTGCTGGTTTTGAGGGGGTCCGTGGACTGTATTTTTACCCCCCCTGTATGCAATACTTTCTGCGGGGCACCATGTTTCCGAAAAAAATTGTTAACTTTACTGGGGGAGTTAACTTAATTTTCGTTAACTTAAGCGAGGTTCGACTGTATTTTTTTCTGTTTCTTCGTGGGGGGGTGTATGCCGGGTTTTGAGACCACGCGCTCCCACTCTTTTTTTTTTCAAGAGCTAATGTGAGAAACAACAACAACAACAACAACATGAGCCAACTGCTCTGTAGACGAGATTACATATCCATGCGCATAGTCTACTGCTGTAGGCATTCCACGAAATGGCGATCCGGATTTGTTCAAGCTGCGTACTCGCCGGGCACACCCATGGAGCCTACTGCTGTAGATACTAGATACTGCTGGTGAGATCTCCCACAAGAAAGAACTTCCGCCGGTGCATGTTGTGGACCGGTGCACTTTTGAAGACTGCACAAAAGCTCATGGCCACAAATAAATGTGTGATCTCACTCTACATACTCCGTAGATCGACCTAGACTACACCAACAGGATCTTAGAATTCTCGACTGATGCAGCCTGTGCAGCATTGAGCCGCGGTCATGGGGTTTTGATGAGAGCAACCTTCATGGTGTGAGCGGTGCTGCCGGGAGATGGCCCAAGGTGCGTGGCCGCAGTTATTGTCGGCATGTTGATACGATACATCCGTTTCGCCGCTGGAAGGGTCCAGAGCTCTCACGGCGCGCGGAAAAGCGCCGGAAAATTATTTGCCAGCAAGCAATAGCTTGCTGCTCGGGTCAGGCGATCCGTCTTCGTATCCGCAACGCCCCCGCCACCACACACACACGCAATTCACAACTTACCTCCCTGCCTCCATACAACCTCAACGCGAAACTACTCCTTTCCTTTCCAACCACTTGAAGAAAAATGGCCGCCACCAACCAAACCGCAGCAGCCAACGAGGTGAGCTTTTGTATTACAGCAGTAGACTAGTCGGTTTGGGCGCCGAGAAGGGACCTGCAGGGACAGCCGTGGTTGTAAATGTTCTTTTTTGTGAGGCTACGTTTTTCGGACGAGTTTTGTGGCCAGCGGGTGGGGCATTGCAGCAACAACCTGCGACTAGGACAGGGGCTTATTACGCGAGCGACAGCAGCAGTGACTTGCGCTGCGTATTTCTTAGCACCCCCTCCACGGAGCAGATGGTGCAAGGGACGATGTTCGTCTAGCCGCGTGTTGTATGCATACCTCATCGCAGTTAGCAAATCCTCGCACTCAAAACTACGATGAGACAGGCACCCTAGACAAATCCATCCAGGGCGTTCACAGGTCCGAATAGCCGTCTTGCCTAAGGCTCTTCCGCTGCGCACTGGTGCCGTGGCTGCGTCGCCGGTGGGGGCTCCTTGCTTGTTCAATCCAAGCGCATGATGCGTGCCGGGTGATTCAGCAACTTCAGACTAATTTCAACCGAAAAATTCGTGTGCTGGTTAGCGGTGTGTTCGATTTCTGTTCTTACATGACCACCCGTGGCAGATTTCTTTCTCTCTCGCGAACGTGCGCTTCAAGAAGCGTGCACTGCCTGTACGTACACCAGTGTAGTGATCGGTGATCGGTCGTGGTTTGGTTTTGGCCGTGCTCAGGCCTTTTTTGCTCCCCGTTAACTAAAGAAAACTGTTCTAATTCTTTGAACGGCAGCGAAAGCTATTGCGCCGTTGCGCCGATCCGTCATCCATCATCCATCTACCCACCAGAATCTACAAAAAGAGTTGTCGCTCTTATCTTGCCCCTGTGCATACGTGTCTGTCTTTTCCCCTCCCTCCCTCCGTCTCCTGCATCATCTCCTAAGTCTCTAGACAACAACGTGATCCCGAACATGCATTGCAAGAAGATTTTTCGATAGCTCTTGAACCGCCTGCAGAGCGAAAAAATCGGAAGTCAAGACTATATTCTACAACATGCATGACCATGTACTTTCCGCACCTGCTCCTTGGAGCGAACATTGCTCACCATACGCGTTCTTTTCTGTGCGAAGAACACAAAGCGCTTGGTTGAATTGGTAATGGTTCAGTAGTTTGGCCTTCACGGCGGTACCTTGGGTGAGTTCGTCGCGCTGATGAGAGGGGTGGAACACGCTTCGTAGACGTATCTAACCCGTGAGAGCCGTTTTGTTTTTCAGAGCCCAGCAAACAATGTTTTGAGTTTGAACATGGATGGTCCGCAGAACGGCAGGCGGACTAACATGGAGCCGCACGTAGCCTACGCCGAGGAGAAAAACCGGAGCGATGCCGCGATTTCCCTATATGTATAATGAAACGCCGAGGCACCTTAATGTGTCTCAAACCCGCGAACACGCGGGTTGGAACAAGCCGTGCCTGCCTGTGGTCGTGACTTTAAAATATGCAAGAAATTGAATTCACCCAATCCTCTTTGTGGTCTTGGGTAAGATCTAACATTCTTGATGGATCAGGATCTTCATGACGGCACGAGCGTGAACCGTGTTTTGACCGCGTGGTCTCTTCGTCCAGTTCTTTATTGTATGCATGTGTGTTATGTCGTTGCATGCACATGTATACACTTCGGCATGCAAGTGTCTCGCATGGTCTGCACATGGTAGTCCCTCTCGCTGCGCGCAGTGCCGAACCGCGCGCAAGGCATCCGCCGATGCCACGTGCGCTCACGGCAAATAGTGTACCAGACCTTGGATGCTGTGTTTTGTTTTTCACACCACGCGCGGCGTGCCTTTCCCGATTGGATCCTTTCATACTGCGGGTACAGCACACTTTGCGTTACTCTTCCTCGTTTGGTATTTGGAGGTCGACAATCCATGTGATCGTCCTTGACAATGGTTATTTGTCATTTAGCGTTATCAGATGATATGCATATGATGTGATTCAAGATTCGGGCTTCATTCATGCCGAGGCATGTGCCCTTCGTGCGTACAGGTGGCATCTGTGTACGTTCGTGCGTGGTTTGCGTTGCTAGACAACAGGAGGGCAAAATCGAAGGAGAACGAGGGAAATCAACCTCATAGACCATATATTTTTTGAGGAAGGTCAAAATCTCATTCTTTTCCAAGAAAAACACTGAAGAATGCATGAAAGTTTGGGTGGATGGTTCTGATGCGCTTGTCGCTTATTAGAGTTAACCGACCTATTAAGGGACGCCTAAGCCACCTATCGCGCCAACAGCTCGTTCTCGGGCGTGAAAGTGATTTGTAAGTATTTTTCAAGTATCAAGCGATAATATATATCATAGGGTATCTGCCTACATACAAAACATAAAAAATCGCAAGGGTAGGTGCGATAGGGCTGGTGCAGTGGACCTCTTTGTTCACCGAAAAATGGAGGAAAACACGCCCCCCTATTAACGGACACTTGGCCTTTGTGGCTGATGTCGTGTGTTCTGAAGCGTTTCATGATCTGATGTAGTATACACCCGTCAACTGCTACATTAGTCCGTTTGAGAATATTTTTGGGTATGGTCATCACCCGGGGACAAAATCCTCACATCCCCGGGTTTCCTTCAGGGACTGGTTCTACCCCCTTTTTGACGGTACAGCGGTGCTGTGCGCATGACAAGAGTTAAAACCAAGGGATAAATGCATAATCGATCCATTCTGATCATACACTGACTCCCTAAAAAGAAATCAGGATGAAAACTCTTGCGCCCCTGATGTTGTACCCACCCAAACAGGCACTGTCAGCTGGCCGCCACGGTAAAGATTCTCCCCAGCAACCCTGAAGGCCATTTCGATGTTTTCACCTTCACCTTAACCTCACACAAGACGCCCTCTGGTGGGTACGCGTGTTCTAAACAAGGGGCGTTGTTGTGAAAAGAAACAATCCATGCATACCCGGGGACGAAATGGCGATATCCCCGTTTTGAAGCATAATCAAGGTATCACCCCCCCCCCCCCCCCCCCCCCCCCCCCCCCCCCCCCCCCCCCCCCCCCCCCCCCCCCNCCCCGCCGACCCCCGGTCCTCGAGTGCACCCCTATCATTTGTACATAGCCCTACAAACCACAAAGGCACAGCAGATTGACTGAAAGAAAAACCAATGACGTCCAAGGCTCATTTGACGCCTCTGTACATACATTCAAACACGTAAACTCGGCAAGCAAGGCAAGAAGCAGGTTGGTGCTGCGGTGACCTTCTCGCAGAAAACCGAAACTGTTTCCCACCACCCGAACGCTCCATCGAAAGTTCCCTTCAAGGCGATCATCTCAAGTCGCGAAGAAAACCGATCAATAGTCCTTCAGGCCCGGGGACAGCATTTCAACATCTTTGTTCCGGAAAACATCTCTAGGCAACCCCCCCC